TCCTCCTTCTCATCTTCACGCTCTCCTTCTCAAACTAAACAGAACATTGGTTATAGGCTAGTCCATGTGCAAGATTTCTTGGAGTAGGCCTGTTCAGAAATTATTTCGAAAGAAGCCTTTGACGCTCCTCCTGAACAGCCACTAGACTCCCGAGTGGTGCAGTGGTCTAAGGCACTTCATCGCAGTGCTAGCTGTGCCACTAGAGATCCTGGTTCGAGTCCAGGCTCTGTCGCAGCCGGCCGCGACCGGGAGACCCATGGGCGGGGCACAATTGGTCCAGCGTCGTCCAAGGTAGGGGAGGGTTTGGCCGGCAGGGATGTGGGTTCGTTTCCCACGGGGGGCCAGTATAAAAATAATAAAATAAAAACATGTCTGTATTCACTAACTGTAAGTCGCTCTGGATAAGAGCGTCTGCTAAATGACTAAAATGTAAAATGTAGGCCTACACACAACACAGCCATTGGGTTAGGCAGCAAATAAAAACATTTTTGATCAGCGAGAGCAGGCCGGGGCTCAGGTTTGGAATATCCATTGCAGTGTATAATTACATTTTAGTCATTTAGCAGACGCTCTTATCCAGAGTGACTTACAGTTAGTGAGTGCATACATTATTTTTTATTTTTCATACTGGCCCCCCGTGGGAAGCGAACCCACAACCCTGGCATTACAAACACAATGCTCTTCCAACTGAGCTACATCCTTGCCAGCCATTCCCTCCCCTACCCTGGACGATGCTGGGCCAATTGTGCACTGCCCCATGGGTCTCCCGGTCTAGTGGCACAGCTAGCACTGCGATGCAGTGCCTTAGACCACTGCGCCACTCGGGAGGACGAGTAGACCTACCCATGCAGTTCCCAAGTAATATCGAGTGCATTGTATAACAAATATGTATATACAAATATTTACTCTAAAACTGGAGCACATCTATCAACTTCAGATTGATAAAATATTTGTGGCTTTTATTTTTAGCACTCTGCCACCCTCTAGTCTATAATTATTATTTGCATTACAGAGATATCACACCACACTGTTACATTCAGATAGAAATCTGCTATGTAGAACAAACATGCCCTTTGACATGTAGAATAAGCAACCATGTCTTAAATATTCATAGCATTAGACCACTGCGCCACTCGGGAGGCTAATGCAGCCTAGTTTTACTTACACCATCCCAGCAGCTATCTTAGAAATCAGTGGCAATTCTAGCATGTAAATGTTGGTGGGGCAAAAAAAAATCTAATATGCATGCCAGCAAAGCCACAACACTAAACAATACATTAATTGCACTATAACGGTGACAAACAGTGCCCACAAACTGTTAGGGCCTACATAAAGCTGTCCCAACAGCAGAGTCCCAACAGCAGTCCCAACACCTTACCACTGCTACACCTGGCTATCAGCGGAGCAGTTCATGCAGTCTCATTTATTGCCTTTTTTTTTAAACATAGCTGATATGGCTGACTTGCTTAAACAAATGTAGTTTGTACTGACAATTGAGATGTACAAACTATGGCATAAGGGAACGACGAGCAGATAAGAGGCAATCCGTAATTTCGATTAAGACATTAATGAGCGAGCTAGGACGGACGTAGTCAATATAACTATTTGTTCAGCACTTTTGAAATATACAGCGACAGAATTCAGAACATGGGCCGTTCTTACAGTATTCTCCCTGTACACCAAGTCAGAACCGTAGGATAAATAAAGGGGGCATATAAGCAGACAATGAAAGCTCTTACAATATTCGATGATTACATTTCTCTAAAACAGGCTATAGGCTACATGTGCACCATCAAGTCAGAACAGTAGGCTAAGTTATGAGGGAGGAAAGGGACCAAATTATTAGGGTGAGGCTACAGTATACATATCACCCTGGCATATTACATCATTTATGCAGCAGCATACAATACATTTTTGGACTCATCTTGTTGTGCTGTGCTCACTTGAACAGGAAGGTGGCGCAGCGGTCCTTCTTGTGGGCTCTAGAAAGAGGCCCGACTTGGAATTTTCCGTATTTTCCCAGGCGGAGCTAGTTTTATCCGAGTTCCCAATTGTCTTGAACTCACTGAAGTCTGAGATTTCCCAGTTCCGAGTTTCCAGTTGTTTTGAACGCGGCAGAAGTCATGCTGGATTGACAGCATGGCCAATTTATTCAAACTTTTCTGGCCAATGGTGTTACACCCTTTTTCTTGATATCCAATTGGTAGTTACGATCTTGTCTCATCGTTGCAACTCCCCTACGGACTCTGCAAAGGTTGAGAGCCAAGCCGCACTGCTTCTTGACACACTGCTTGCTTAACCCGGAAACCAGCTGCACCAATGTGTCGGAGGAAACACTGTCGAACTGATGACCGAAGTCAGCCTACAGGCGCCCAGCCCGCCACAAGGAGTCGTTAGAGCACGATGAGACAAGGACATCCCGGCCGGCCAAACCCTCTCCTAACCCGGACGACGCTGGGCCAATTGTGCGCCGCCTCATGGGTCTCCCGGTCACAGCCGTGTGTGACACAGCCTGTGATCGAACCCGGGGCTGCAGTGGCGCCTTAGCACTCATTGTTGAATTTGTGATTTCCAACTTGTTGTGTAATGTTTATGGCCGATGAGCACTGATACATTTTATCTATAATTTCTCTTCATATGACATGGATTGAAAAGGATTTGCCAGTAGATCGCCGACTTGATGCATGATGATGACTGCTTGTCTAGCTTGCTAGCTAAGATTTTGAAAGTATGATGTTGACATGATCAGTCCAATCAATGCTACGGTAGATATAACGTGATTTAACGTCATTTTATCTGTGGCCAATGACCTTGAGCCTTCTTGGATAGGCACTTATAATGTAAGTATATGGCAGCACCCAAGGGGCTTGAATTTTCGAGCTCTAGCCCTACATTTTGCAGCGAGGTAGTGTCCCCATGAGTGACAGAACACTGAGCCAATCACAGCGCAACTAGAGAATATTACCAACCCCTATGCTCCATATTTTCCGCTGGCTGGCCCACCACCACAGAAAGTACTAAGCTAGGCTGAAACACCTGCATTTTGGAGCTGCCTTACTCAAGAAAGCAAAAAAGAGACTATGTTTGTATGCTTTATTGCTTTATTAACTCAAGGATTATAGTATTTAAAAAAAAAAATGTTTTAACATTATTTGCAAACTGATATGTGACACGTATTAATGCCAAAATAATATTCAAAACTGGCACACACAAAAAACTGGTGGGGCTCACCTGCCCTGAATGACGCGTCGCCACTCTTAGAAATATAACTTTGCTCTGTGCTTCTCTGAACATGCACTTCGTAGACTATAGGCTAGGGATAATTTGATTGAGACCACACAAAATAGTTTATAGGCGCACTTGAAATTGCGCGCACAGTGGAGAATCAGAGATGAGGGGCGGCATCGCCCACATCGACATATAGCCTAATAAGCAACTAATTCTAAAACACTGAGAAATATATACATTTCATCAATTACATGACCTTCCCCTGTACTAGATTTAAAAAAATATATACTAAACCCATATCCCCTTGACTAAAATTGAAAAAACACGAAGCTCCCACATTTTCGATCCGTCCCTAAGCGCCATTTATACCTTGGGCTAACATACTGTAAATCCTGTCCTGATTTTGTCCACATTCTGACTGTGCCCACATTTGACATTCACATTTTTCTTTTCAAATCGCTATAGGTCTATATCAATTTTCAGAAATGTTGGTAAATTAGCTTTGATTGTTTAAATAACTTGTGAAAGACATTGGTGTTTTTTTCACTAGGCTATCTCATCATGGCATGGGGTTGTTGAATGACAGAAATGTTTTTGTTTGAAATCTATCACTTGGTTTCATTTCAGAGACAAATAATGTTTTTTGTTTCAAAACGCTATATCGCCTTACTCAGAGAAATAATTAGTAGGCCTAGGTTACTGATAGGTTTATGTAGTCGAATTTAACAAAGCCTAACTAAATTTTTAACTGTACAAATGATACATTTGTGACATCAATATTTACAAAATGCATCAATACAGTAATGAGATGTGTATGTAAAACATTTACATTTGGCATTTGAGACATTTAGCATATGCGCTTTTCGCGAGCTATTTAGATAGTACACAAGACGCACATTCTACATGATGTTAGTGAGCTAGCTAGCTAGCTTGTTTACAACTATCAAAAAAGTTCCACGCGACTCGCGCTGCTGCGTCACAATAACTGGCACTCCGGTCCTGGATCTGGGACCCCCTACTCGCGCAGGTCCAGGATTCGTTACAGACAGGGTTAACTTGCGTTTCACATATGATTTATAGCGTGGATAAGGGTACCAAACGCTCCAGGATCCGTATCATAAGGGGATATGTGAAAGCGCCCTTAAAAAGATGGCTAGGTGAGACAACCACCACATATCACAGTCAAATACCGTATTCAAACATTCCATTCCAGCTAAACAATGGATATATAGCGTTTTGCACCAAAAAAATAGTTTTAATACACACCTAAAATCTATGAATAAAGAAATTTGAGAACAGTAATATTTGACACACACGAAGGTATCAAGCAATAATTTCAGGTGAAAAACCACAAATGTGAAAAATATGTGGATATAGCATTTTGCAAATAAACTCATGTAGACAATTAAAATGAAGCATAGTGAACTGAGTGTGATCAGATCTTCCTGAGCACTTCTGGAGGTAGTCGGGACACATTGTATATGCATATCTTACAAATGTTAAGGAATCTGGTTGATCAAACCGTTTAAATTGGGTCAACTTCATCATCATCCACTTCTAAAATCATTATTTGCATTGCAAATATCATGTGTAGATGTGACAAACCTTGATTTGAAGTTTATTGAAAAACATGTTTTGATATGATAATCTGATATACAAAAGAGGACCTGTAAAACCATGTATTTAAAACAGGAATATACATGGATTTCTTTTCTCAATAATTCCAATCTATATTTCGATTGGAATTACCTCTTACATAGTTTATTAAGAACTCAAAGCATTTTTAGGAGACTTTCTGTGTTTCTTTCTGTTGGAGTGCTTTTGGAGAATCTTAACCGGTGAACTCTTCTCATATGATTTACCATATTACACCTTTGAGTAAATGTTTTCCCACACTCTGAGCACTGGTGAGGTTTCTCCCCAGTGTGAGTATACATGTGCGTTCTCAGGGAGTCTGAGGTAGTGAAAGATTTTGGGCATTGGGTGCAGGTGTAAGGACGCTCGCCTGTGTGAGAGCGCAGATGAACCGTAAGATGGCAAGATGCTTTGAAACCCTTTCCACAATGTTTACAGGTGTGGGGGTTTTCTCCTGTGTGTGTTCGTGTATGGAGCCGCACTTCTCCTGAGCTAAGGAATGCCTTACCACATATGCTACATAAATAATTCTTCTCCCCAGCATGCATTCGCATGTGTCTCACTAGTGTACTCGGATGGGCAAACCTCTTCTCACAGATAATACACATGTGACGGCGCTCCCCAGAGTGACTGCGTACGTGCACTTTAAGATCATAAGCACTCCTGTACCTCCGGTCACAGTGTTCACATGCAAATGGTCTTTCTTCTGTGTGAAGTAGCTGGTGTTTTTTCAGAGCCCCAGGAGTAGCATATCGTTTGGGACACTGGTCACAATGATATGGCATCGTGTGAACTCCCATATGTAGCGTCAGCAGTGATGGTTTTTTGAAAACCTTCCCACACTCACATGTATGAGTCCTGTTTTGGGGTGCAGGGGATCCTTCTTTTTTCTTATCAACCTGTTTGATCACCCTCTTTTTGTCAAACTTTCTGACCACCTCTTTTTTCTTGTCAACCTGTTTGCTGTCCTTTTCTACTTGGTTTATCTTGATGTCCTTGCAGAGGTTGGCCATTTCACTGTGAGAGAATGGAGAGAGGGTGCAGGTAAGAACCTGGGATGGTTCGTCAGCATTCACCACTACGTTGAGAGAATGATCCAAGTTCAATTCTGTAAGGAGAAAATACAGGAGAACAGATTACATAACCACCATATATATATATATACACTGAACAAAAATATTAACGCAACATGTAAAGTGTTGGTCCCATGTTTCATGAGCTGAAATAAAAGATCCCAGAAATGTTCCATACACACAAAAAGCTTATTTCTCTCAAATTATGTGCACAAATTTGTTTACATCCCTGTTAGTGAGCATTTCTCCTTTGCCAAGATAATCCATCCACCTGAAAGGTGTGGCATATCAAGAAACTGATTAAACAGCATGATCATTATACAGGTGCACCTTGTGCTGGGTACAATAAAAGGCCAGTTTTGTCACACAACACAATGCCAAAGATTTCTCAAGTTTTGAGGGAGCATGCAATTGGCATGTTGACTGCAGGAATGTCCACCAGAGCTATTGCCAGAGAATTGAATGTTCATTTCTCTATCATAAGCCACCTCCAATGTCATTTTAGAGAATTTGGCAGTATGTCCAACTGGCCTCACAACTGCAGACCACGTGTAACCACGCCAGCTCAGAACCTCCACATCCGGCTTCTTCACCTGCGGGATCGTCTGAGACCAGCCACCCAGACAGCTGATGAAACTGAAGAGTATTTCTGTCTGTAATAAAGCCCCTTTGTGGGGAAAAACTCATTCTGATTGGCTGGGCCTGGCTCCCCAGTGGATGGGCCTGGCTCCCAAGTGGGTGGGCCTATGCCCTCCCAGGCCCACCCATTGCTGCGTCCCTGACCAGTCATGTGAAATCCATAGATTAGGGTCTAATGAATTTATTTAAATTGACTGTTTTCATTATATGAACTGTAACTCAGTAAAATCGTTGAAATTGTTGCGTTAATATTTTTTTCAGTATATTCATTGTAATTCATATACTTTATTAGTCATAAACAATGGATGAGTGTTTGACCTTTTTTATTTTCCTTACCATCACAGGGTCCTGGAGTAACCAACGCTGAGGTCTCTGCAGGTGATATACCCTCCTGTTGCTCTGATGTTGACAGTCCTAGATCCTCCAAACATCTATCAGTGTCATCATCCAGGATTTCATTGTTGTCTTCATATTCCCAGACCTCTACCCCATTATCTATGCATTCATCTTCATCTGAGCATGGCTTCACATTGTCAGAGTTGTCTGGCTCGTAGTTAATAACAACTCTGACTATTGGAGGGAGGGACAGTGTGGACAGGATGGTATCTGCAATGTATTTACAGACATGACCTGGGTAGGAGAGAACATCAGTTAAACTCACCTAGATTGCCAAGTTAAAACGACAAGAGGTATCCTATATGACTCTGTACTTCATATCCATCATCTGGATGATGACATAGGGCTCGATTCAATCTGATCCGCTTTAGCCAACATCCGCATAGTGCTTCCTTTGGCGGTCGGAGGTGGAACTGTGTTAGAGCTGTCAAATCCACAAGTGACTCCTAGCATTACACCTAAAACGGACATTGCCATTGGCCTCACGGAGTCGCATTAACAAAAATCCCATGCAACCTTGTTTACAAGTTTGAACACTGGAATGTGAGATGTAATCTACACATCGATTAAGGTGATAGAAATCCTCATTATTTAGTTTAATGATTTTTCAATTTGAGTGTAATTATATCTATATAGGCTGCACTGGTGTGGCTTCATGACAATGATTGCAAGAGCAGCTTCTCACCAATATGACGGCTCCAACACAGTTCCACCTCTGACACCGCCAAAACATCCGCTATGCGGGTGTCTGCTATCGCCGGTTAACAGTTGATCTGATTGAATCTAGGCCTTACTATTGTTCAGGTTTCCATGACGCTGATGGTGCTGCATCACTGTCTTCAGTTGTTCAGGGTCAATGACAGTCTGTCTACATTCCTCCAGGACAGAGGGGGCAGCACCGAGCCATGCTGTTGTCTAAGAGGAGCAGGGCAGGGGGAATACAGGATAATAAAGAGTTCAAATATGTTGTACCAGCCTCTTGAGGTTTTAGACAAGTTTTGAAATGACCAAAAACACCATTCAATTCATCTGTAGAGCCACATGACGCCATGTTCCGTCAATCTTTTAGAACAGACGTTTTCCTCAGTACCTGTGCAAGGTCTGGTACAGGCAGCAGCTCCTCCAGTCTGGAGAGGAACTCCCACACCAGTGTCTGCAGCGCTGTGTCATACCGAGGGCCATAGTGGACTGGGAACACCTCCTGTGAAGTAGACTATTTAGCATGAAATGGGTCTAGTGCCGAATGTCTCCATTAAAGATGCACTCCAGCTATTTTGGAACTTTTCCTGATGAGAAACAGTATCTCAAGTACAGTAATATGCACACACTTAAGGGTAAAATAAATAAATAATAGTGTTTTTTAGACAACTACAAACTTCATGGAGTAGGCCATTCAAGGAGTTGAATTGGTCTGATGTGATGTCATCAGCCTCCTCCCTTGCTTGTGGGAATAATGGAGGAGCAAAAAACATCAAATAAAAAGGCCCTGCCCACACCCCCCCACTTGTGCCATGTCATGTCATACCTAGACCATCTTTTGAGATGTGCCTTCTGTTAAGTAAATTAGGTGATAAATTATGTGAAAAGGAGACTGGAGTGCCACTTTAACAAGATTTACATTTTACATTTAAGTCATTTAGCAGACGCTCTTATCCAGAGCGACTTACAGTTAGTGAGTGCATACATTATTTTATTTATCATACTGGCCCCCCGTGGGAATCGAACCCACAACCCTGGTATTGCAAACGCCATGCTCTATCAACTGAGCTACATCCCTGCCGGCCATTCCCTCCCCTACCCTGGACGACGCTGGGCCAATTGTGCGCCGCCCATGAGTCTCCTGGTCGCGGCCGGCTGCGACAGAGCCTGGATTCGAACCAGGATCTCTAGTGGCACAGTTAGCACTGCGATGCAGTGCCTTAGACCACTGCGCCACTCAGGAGTTTTAGATCTTTAGGGTATTCTGAATGCAGACGAAGTATACTTATAATCTTTAATCTAAGTAGATGATGTTCAACTGGTAGCCTATTTCAGAAATATACTCAAGCAATAGGATCATAAAGAAGTCTAGAGAGAAAGTTCCTCACCTGGAAGAAATGCTCCCTCTCAGAAGGGTCTTCCAGCAGGGTTTGAACCAGCTCCACAAAGTTAGAATCTGAAGCCTCCAATTCATCACCATGACTCTGTCATTAGGCACAAGAAAACAAAACCTCTGACAAAGGTACAGGAGTGCATCTCTCAGAAATAAAGTTATTCCAGTGTCTCATTCATAAAGTGTTACCAATTTAACCTACCTCTTTGTGTAAGGATTTTTCTGTCAAAGTGTGGATTATGTCCAGGTGGGCCTGGACGGTCAGGAAGTCAGCTGTGCCCTCACTGCGACACAACTCTAAAACCAGCTGGAAAAGTGGTGGATATGTGAAAAGCAGGACTAGGGACAGATGTACAGTAATTGCAGCCAGTAGCTGCCCATCGTTCGTTCCATCATAAGACTCTTCCCATCCCATCCCAACCCTCAACATTTCCACCTCTCTCACCCTTGCTCTAAGTCCCAGGATGAGTTGGGTCCTCTGCCTGGAGCTCAGCAGCTCTGGAACCATCTCCGTCACCAAGGTCACAAACTCCTCCAGCTTCCCATACTGCATCACATTACGCTGTTGAGTCACTTGCCACATGAAAGCGGACATCAGGCGTAGAGGTGGAACCAGGAGACGCAAGGAGAACAGAGGGAGACCTGTCACCGAAGTGATGAGAGCAATTAACAATTAAACAGATAAACAAATAATACATGCAAAATCAACTGATTCAGTAACTTAGCTAGTTAGTAATATTACAAGCTATGTGTAGGTACACTATAGGACATCTTTGAATGATCCATGTTATGTAAATTTGTTTTAAATAAAATGTAATGAGTCATGACATATCATTTTTCTACATTTAGCTACTGCTATGTGATAAGCAATGTATGACAAAGCACAAACCAACCTTGTTCTGATGCTGGATCAATAATGTTATCCATAACTAGCTAGCTAGCTAGTTTGCAAAGCAAAAAAGCCACCGAAACAAGCTAGCGAATGAGTTTGATGTTAACGTTAGATAGTGCGACCAAGCCTAGAATATACGTTGTACTAAAGCGCTTGCAGCGTAACTAAAAAGGTTGACATATGTATTCAAGCTAACAATCCCCTAGTTAGCTAAATAAAACCGTTTTGTACAGAGGTTGCTTGATCCAGCGTCTCGTCAGCAGCACTAAAATAAGTGCTTCCGGGAATGTCGAAACATTTCTAAATAAAAGTCCCCCACGTTACGTAATAGTAGAAACGTGTCAAAAACCTTTATTTATTAATGATATATGAAAAATAATTGTCTAAACATTAACAATGATTAATATTTTTCAATAATTAAGGGACATTTGCATTAAATGTGGGTTTTAAAACATGTTCCAAGGTCAAATAAATTGCCACAATGCGAATCACTGTATATGGAATACATATCCGCTTATAGAGCAAAAACTATTCTGGGTGCCACAGTAAAAGTATTGTAGGGAATACTCTGTAGGTTCTGTAGAATGTATTTCATGAGGCTCTGAATAATACGGAATGTTGCTGGCCTTTTACTGTGGTCAAACAGCTTAAAGTGGGTTGCCTGGACACTATATTGTACAAATATAACACTGTACAGGAAAAACGATTGATTGTGTGTCCATACAACCAGGGTCCAGTCTACTCACCAGAGTCCCTAGAATACAAAACCGGTGAGTTTGAACAAAAAGCTAGGTCACAGGAAGCTTTATGTTGACATTTGAACAGTGAGACACATATCAGAACCATGGACAGCTACCCTTTTAGAACGTTATTTTGTCACTGTCAGCCTAGCTCCAAATATGTGGTAAATATGTGGCACAAAAGCATATTAATATAATGCAATATTTTAGTCAGTGCAAGACCCCACACTGGTAAAGAGAAAACGTTACTACCGGTCTCAAATAAACTCTGTTGAGTTTCTACTGACCAAATATGTTCCATTTTTCAGGGGGCTGTGTCCAACAGCCTGCTGGTCATTTCTCTGCCTTTCTTGTAATGACTACATTTAATCCTGGATGTTATATTCATTCTAAAGCAATACATTAATTGACTGTTATTGTGTTGAATATCAGTTGGATAAACAAAACACCTTAACAATTTGTTTTTGCTTACCCTGGTGTGAAATAAAATGCCATTCCATACACGACTTTCGTGCACTCTTGCTTTGCGCTAATGGATGTGCCAAAAACCGACTATTAGCAGGTGATTAGTTAAGAAGCCAACTGCTTCAAAGACTGCAACAACGATGGACTGTCATACCTGTATGACTGTGACACATGTTTACATTATATTGCTAGTGACAACAAGGTGAAATTAAGCAAAATGGTACAAACAGAGGATGTAAATGAGGCTCAGGTTCAAAACCTATTGCCTCTGGAGAGTTTAAATGAGAGAATGTCAACTGCCCAGCGAAGACCCTCAGACATACTTTTGAGGATAAAGAACATGCTTCTAATTTTCATCCTGATGTAGCCAAGAGTTCATATGAGGGAGTGTTAGTGGTGCAGCTCAATCAAATCTCAGACACCCAAGATATTGGGAATGAATACTACCACTTAGAGACAGAAAGTTATGGTAGAGGTTTATCGGATGAGGAAATCGTAAACTCTATGACAACTGAATCAGATGAGCAGCATGTAACTGGAGAGGTTGACGCCGAACTAAGCGAGGATACACTGAAATGTGTTTTGTCAGACGCTTTTATGGCGTACCACAACTAATGTTGTATTGCTGCTACCAGTTGGACGGGGGTGAAATAAATATACAAAAAAATGTAAATTCCATTACGGATAAGGAAAAAAAGTCATTCGTTCACAATAAAGAGAAAGATGCGAATTTCAAATATGAATCTCTTTGTATCTAGTCATTACAATATATCATTTAGTTGAATTGAGGGTTTATAATATTGCCCAGTAAAATCACAACAATAAATGTCACATTACAGACATAAGGAATGTAAGAGGCAAGCAATGGCTTCCTAACTGTGGGACAGCTCCACTTCAGTAATTCAAAAATGAATTATAACGAATTAATTATTATTAATGTTTATTTTTCAAATGTCAACAAAAGAACCATTACTGTCATCCTGCCGTCTTACCAAGAAAGTTAGAGCGCTCATCATTGTGCAATAGGCTTGTCCAGCCTGCTTGCCTTGTCAGACGGAGGTCAAAGTCATCTGCAATTTTCTGCGGACACAATAGGGGAGCTGTCTCTCAACCATCAACATTAATTCATAGGAGTGACCTATGACCTGCGGCGACATCTGCCTATTATTCTCTCAAGCCAAGAGAAAACAGGGTCCCTCATATTTCAGCAGCTGATTAATGTTCTCAATGACATTTAGATATGCTGTCTCTTGGCAAATGGAGAATGATCATAAAGCAGTCTGTTATGCAAATTAATAATGAACAGTGGACACACACGTGAGTGTCACACTCTGGCTCCGGGACTTGTATTTGAGCCAGGGTGTATTCGTGTTGTTGGGGTTTGTTTTGGTTAGGTTGGGAATAGGGTGTGTTCATTTGGGTGTGTGTGGTTTTGGTTAGTTCTTGTGTAGTCATGTGACTCCCAATCGGAGGTAACGAGTGTCAGCTGTCGGCTCGTTATCTCTGATTGGGAGCCATATTTATCTGTATGTTTTCCTTTGGGTGTTGTGGGTTTTTGTTCCGTTTCGGTCGGTGTACCGTGGACTTCATGAGTCGTCTTTTGTTTGTAGTTCGAAACTTTAATTAATAAAGTCATGTTTCTTGCACACGCTGCGCCTTGGTCTCCTTCGCTCTTAGACGACCGTGACAGAAAAACCCACCATTCTAGGACCAAGCGGCGTGTCAAGCGGCAACAGGATCCACCTACACAGGATTCATGGACATGGGAGGAGATACTGGATGGAAGGGGTCCTTGGGCACAACCGGGAGAATATCGCCGCCCTCGTGAAGAGCTGGAGGCAGCTAAAGCCGAGAGGAGGCAATATGAGGAGGCAGCACAGAGGCAAGGCTGGAAGCCCGTGAGCACTAGCCAAAAATTTCTTGGGGGGGGCCTTAAAGGGAGTGTGGCGAAGTCAGGTAGGAGACCTGCGCCTACTCCCTGTACTTACCGTGGAGAGCGAGAGTACGGGCAGACACCGTGTTACGCAGTAGAGCGCATGGTGTCTCCTGTACGCGTGCATAGCCCGGTTCGGTACATTCCAGCTCCACGTATCGGCCGGGCTAGATTGAGCGTTGAGCCGGATGTCATGAAGCCGGCCCAACGCATCAGGCCACCAGTGCGTCTCCTCGGGCCGGCTTACATGGCACCAGCCTTACGCATGGTGTCCCCGGTTCGCCTACATAGCCCGGTGCGGGTTATTCCTCCTTCCCGTACTGGTCGGGCGACGGGGAGCATACAACCAGGTAAGGTTGGGCAGGCTCAGTGCTCAAGGGAGCCAGTAAGCCTGCACGGTCCGGTATTTCCGGCGCCACATCCCCGCTCCAGCCCAGTACCACCAGTGCCTACACCACGCACCAAGCCTCCTGTGTGTCCCCAGAGTCCTGTGCGTCCTGTTGCTGCTCCCCGCACTAGCCCTGAGATGCGTGTCCTCAGCCCGGGACCACCAGTTCCGGCACCACGCACCAGGCCTATAGTGCGTCTCGGCCGGCCAGAGTCTGCCGTCTGCCCAACGGCGCCTGAACTGCCCGTCTGCCCAACGGCGCCTGAACTGCCCGTCTGCCCAACGGCGCTTGAACTGCCCGTCTGCCCAAAGGCGCCTGAACTGCCTGTCTGCCCAACGCCGTCTGAACTGTCCGTCTGCCAAGCGCTGCATGAACTGCCCGTCTGTACTGAGCCTGCAAAGCCGCCCGTCTGCCATGAGCCTTCAGAGCCGTCCGCCAGACCGGAGCCGCTAAAGCCTTCCGCCAGACAGGAGCCGCTAGAGCCTTCCGCCAGACAGGAGCAGCCAGAGCCTTCCGCCAGACAGGATCAGCCAGAGCCTTCCGCCAGACAGGATCAGCCAGAGCCTTCCGCCAGACAGGATCAGCCAGAGCCTTCCGCCAGACAGGATCAGCCAGAGCCTTCTGCCAGACAGGATCAGCCAGAGCCTTCCGCCAGACAGGATCAGCCAGAGCCGTCCGCCAGACAGGATCAGCCAGAGCCTTCCGCCAGCCATGAGCAGCCAGATCCGTCAGCCTGCCATGAGCAGCCAGATCCGTCAGCCAGCCATGAGCAGCCAGATCCGTCAGCCTGCCATGAGCAGCCAGATCCGTCAGCCAGCCATGAGCAGCCAGATCCGTCAGCCAGCCATGAGCAGCCAGATCCGTCAGCCAGCCATGAGCCGTCCAGCCAGGATCCGCCAGAGCCGTCCAGCCGGGGTCCGCCAGCCAGCCAGGATCCGCCAGAGCCAGCCAGCCAGGATCTGCCATTCAGTCCGGTGGGGTTAAGTTGGAGGGTGGTCAGTTGGAGGAGGCTACGGAAGCGGGTAGTGACTATGGTGGGGTGGGGACCACGACCAGAGCCAGAACCACCGCCGAAGAGGTATGCCCACCCAGCCCTCCCTGGGTTAGCCCTAGTTGAGGCGCGGTCGCAGTCCGCGCCTTTAGGGGGGGGTACTGTCACACTCTGGCTCCGGGACTTGTATTTGAGCCAGGGTGTATTCGTGTTGTTGGGGTTTGTTTTGGTTAGGTTGGGAATAGGGTGTGTTCATTTGGGTGTGTGTGGTTTTGGTTAGTTCTTGTGTAGTCATGTGACTCCCAATCGGAGGTAACGAGTGTCAGCTGTCGGCTCGTTATCTGTGATTGGGAGCCATATTTATCTGTATGTTTTCCTTTGGGTGTTGTGGGTTTTTGTTCCGTTTCGGTCGGTGTACCGTGGACTTCATGAGTCGTCTTTTGTTTGTAGTTCGAAACTTTAATTAATAAAGTCATGTTTCTTGCACACGCTGCGCCTTGGTCTCCTTCGCTCTTAG